GTGGTCAATATGAGAGATGTCGCATTTTTCAAAAGTTGGTCGAAATTTTAAAATGTTCGTTTCTCAGCAACCCAGCAATATTTTTTCAAACGGAAAGCGCCATTTTACTCAGAAATGTCTATATTTTCTTTTATGACTGGTTCGAACGAGTTCTGTGAGATACGATTGAGCAGTGTTCTATGTAGCGTAGCCGCCGCTTATGTCAAATGGCTCTTAAGGGATTTTTCATATGATCGCAAAAAATGACTCATTATGTGATGATACAAGAAGAGAACAATGAATAAGCAGCGGGACATAATGAAAAAGTCGCTAAGTGCATTTGTTAGAAGTTAATTTCTCACAGAAATGAATATTTCGAAGTAGTTTCTAAGAAAACTGAATCGTGGTGAATGGGTTAAGGGCGGTTTATTTTTTTAATGGCATTTTAAAAGCGAAACTTGCTCATCTCTTGTGGAGTTTTGAGTCCATTAGAAAGCGACCACCTGAAGCGAACTTTTTCCTGATGATTCACACAAGTACATATCAGGTAGAGTAAGAAGTCCATGCGATTCATATACTTCCATGGGTAGTCAACCACAAATACATAAAGTATTCAGAAAATTTTTACTGTCTTCCACTTTGTAGAGCTTTTTTTGCTGATCATTTCGGTGAAAAAATGTTTTTGATTTCATTGGTTAATGACGGAGTTATGGTCGAAATACTGAACACTGTAAATTAGCTTAAAATTCGATTTTTTCTGATAAAACATCAGAAAAAGTTGATTAAAACATCTCGAAATGGCTATATTATGGAGAGGTGTGACATAATGGGTTTTGTAGAGGAACGTTTGCGCTACAAAACCTCATAGTCGGTTATTCAGTTACAATCGAACAGCACGATTAAATCGAGCTGCAACATTCATGAGTATTTTTCTGATGAAAGGCTGATGAATGTTGCAGCTCGATTTAATCGTGCTATTCGATTGTAAATGAAAAACCGACTATGAGATTTTGTAGAACAATATTTTTCTGCTATAAATGTTTTTCTCAAGGAGCACGATTTTAATGACAAATGAAAGAAATATTGACTTTTATATCAAATGAAAGTTCGTTGAAAACGAATTTTATGAGTATACTCCGATAATATATAGAGCCATCACGAGTTACAGAATTATGTAAAAGCTTTAAAATATTGCGCATAAAAGTGGACCCTTCCACCGATAGTCAATCATAAAAACACAGTATTCTCTGAAAACATTTTGATATTTCGAATTTTGTAAAGATCTCGTCGCTAAACATTTTGGTGACAAGAACTTTTAGTTTTTAATCAGGAAATAATGATGCTTATATCAAATTATTCACCAGCATCTCGACTCTACTAACTAGACGTAGATCAGTTTATAGCTCAAAAGTTCAAATGAACTGCTCAGAACAACTGTTCAGACAGTTCTTTAGGACGAACTGATCGTTTCTAACAGTTCTTTCGAGAGGGACTAGGATGGTGTGGGTGTGAGTGTTGTTAGTGACCTTATTTGTTACCCGCCAGAACATTTGCACCTCATTCATACCCAAACACCCACATTCACCGTCACTCTCAAGAACCTTTTGATGTTTTGAAGCTTAAAAAAGGTTCAGTATTAACCTGGTTTTTTAGTGTAACATAGGTTTAAGTGTAATTTAAATAAACTATATACATTTTCTTTTACGATTAACATTAACCATAACATTCAAAATAAGTATGATTTACATAAAGTACTATATATCATTTATTTAGACTAAATTAATCAATGCTAATAAGGGAAGCACCTGTCAGCAGTCCGGTGCAGAAATTTACTCATACGTCCGAACGTTAGTCTTGACACTAGTCAAGATGTACTGATAGTTGTTTGTGCACCGATGTCTTCCTTCGATTCTAGACGTCCTCTCTCTGAAATAGTAAAAAGCGCATATCAACCTTGTCGAGAGATTTTAAAAAGCTTGTTCGTCGAGACCGCTCGTAGATACAGACTCTCCATAGTCGATTGCTGTGTACACAGCAAAGTTTTGCGTCAAAGTACGATTCAAAACAGTTTCTCTATTTGATTAAAACTTCTTGATAATGCTGGTATGAAGACCGGAATCGAAAATCGTCAAGTTGTTTTGAAGTTGTCGGTAGCATGAATCATAGTCATGAATAGTTTTCCGTTCTGTTAACATTTTTGTTTTCTGTTTTAATTATAGTCTGATTTTTATTTACTCGCTCTTCAGTATATCTCTTAATGTGAACATCGCTGCGTCATGAGCTGAATGAGCTAACTCACAAGGTAACGCTCGTCTCCACTTGCTCGATCCTTGACTTTAATAACGTGGATCTGCGCTACTGAACGCCCTTTCGTGGCTTTTAAATCGAAGACAATGCTCACGTCTCCCTTCAGTCGGCGCTCGCTGGGGGCCTAACTAAGCCATCTTCTTGATTTTTTTCGGTTCATGTGTAAGGTTCGTAATCTAATACAAATATACAAGGCAAAAAACCCCAGAGGTTTAAAAATATTTCTGAACTCAAAATAATGCTCATGCTTCCCTTCGGTCGGCGTTCGCAGCCACTATAGCTGAGAAACGCTGTGAACTTCTGTTTCTTGGAAAAAGTTTTAAAAATCTACCGAAAAGCCAGTTTGACAAAAATTAGGGTTTTCAGGGTGTTGCCACCTAATATTAAAAAATTCGCTGTTCACTTAAAAAACATCAGAGCGAGTTCAGAACCTCAGGATATGATTAACGTTGTCCGCTAAATGTAATTATAAGATCGAAGAAATCAAAAAGCATATTTTTGTTAATAGGTTTTCAAGAAACCCTTTTGGAGAATCTTAGCATTTTGTATAATTTATTTTAAAAAAAAAAGATATAGAATAGCTTAAATACTCCACATTCTGAAGTTTTGAACTCGCTCTGATGCTTTTCGAGTAAATAGTGAATTTTTTAATATTAGGTGATTTTCATTCTCAGTTTTTTGCTCAAGTTTTTCTCAACTACTTTTAACGTAAAACTATAGCTTTTCTCTGTTCCACAGGTATGGAAGTTCTCTAGTAAATATTCTTCTAAAAATGCTTTATTGGCTTACAAACTGTAAATAAAACTGTAAACCGTAAATATCTAAATAACTAGCGAGGCTGTAAAATGTGAACATGCATAAACTGTCAGTTTCTAAATATCTAAATAACTAACCACGCTGTAAAAAGTGAACCTTGACAAATTATAACTATATACATATATAACCAGCCTACGAAGGATGAAGCTGCACAAGCTGCAGATATCTAAATATCCAGCCGGGCCGTAAAAGTGAACCTGTATAAACTGTGAGTAGGTAAATATCTAAATACCTTAATATCTAGCCAGGCTATAAGGGTGGACGGTTTTTTCCTCAGCGCATTTTCTTTTGCGGAAATAATGCATTCGTTGAAGAAGAAAAGTAGTTGCAAAAGAACGCTAAAAACTAAAGGTTAGAGCCGAAACACACTTCTTTTCGTTCTCGAGTTCCTAAAGTTAGAGCCGACAGCATCTGATGTTAATTGTGTGATTGTAGCACAGCTGTACAATATAGACGAAAATGGTGATGTAATAAATATTCTATGTCTTCGGCTGCAAATCGTGAACGCTGATATCTGCACAGGAGTGTATCAATTACTGTTGACTCATAAACAGTCACAATTATTTCATGTGAAAGAAGATTGTTACTTTAAGTTTTCTTCGTTTATGACGAAAGTTCATAAAATTCTAGTGTGTGATCATTATCCGTTTTAATAACTAAACAGTCTTTTCCAACGACCACTGCATACTTGATTTGTTTCCCGTAGGTCACGTTTCGTTTTATATCTCCATTTTCATCAATAATAAGCAGACTATCTCTCTGTAGCGTTAAGTATCGATTATGTGATAAACATATGAGATTTATAACTTTGAAATCTTCGTGTGTTCGAATAATATTCATTGTTAGTCTGTCACGTATTTGAAACAGATTTTGAACATTTAGTGTATATCCATCATGTGATCGTCCATATTTGACTATTACTAATGCTACTTGTTTATCATTCATAAATCGAATACATTTTACATAATCATTTAAGGTAAACAGTGGCCATCGTTTTTCCAACTGCCAGTCGTTTATTCGATATTGATCCAATGGACTACCATCTTCTCGATAGGCTAATAACAATTTATTCTCAGAACAATCACATGTACCAAATTCATGATTATCCAACGGTTTCAATTGTGAAATAATGTTTATCGTCATAGTTGTTATTTCAACAGTAAATACTTGTTTGGTTGTTATAATAATGAATTGATTTAGTATTGATGACCAACATATATCTTTTATACTACCATACTTCCATTCTATTGCTGTTTGTTTTTGTGTTCCTGTCCGATCCACAAGACACAATTTTTCATTTCCTTCACTATACAATAATACATTTTCAGATGATGCCATACCAGAAACCTTTTTAGTATATGATATCGATTTTATTTGTGTCATTTTTAATTGATCAAAACATAATTGTACATTTTTGTATACGCGAACCATTGTTGTCCAATCAATTTGATCACTTTGTTTAATATTTATTCGAATATTATTTGTTTTACTAGTGAGTAATAATTGATCAATTTCCAATTTTAATTGTTCAACTTTATTTTTCAGACAATAAACATCTGGTTCTAATAAATTATCGTTGTTTATTCGAGAATTCAACTCTTCATTTATCATTTGAAACTTGTGTTTCATATCATTCATTGATTGATTTTTCAATGTATTAAAGCATTCGCGTGCTCTATCAGCTGTTTCTTTGATTTTTTTAAACATTTGCTCTTCCCATTGATCAATTTGAAATAAAATATCTTGTTCATCATTACTAATCTTATCCGATGGATCTTGTGAATCCAATAATTCTTGTTTTACTTTGGCAAAATTAGCTAAAATCGGGTTGAGATTTTGAACAATTTCTTGTTTGTGGGTGACAATATGATGTAAACAAAATTTACATTTACATCCATTACATTGAATTATACCAAAAGTTTTCTTCTTCAACGTTTTACACGTCGGGCATAAGTCGTTTTCCGTTAGAGTTTTTGAAGACATAATACTCATAAGAAATATATGCATAAATGTGTAATATGGAGTGAGCAACTTATGTGTTTATTCAACCGAATCTTTTTCATAGCGCATGTAAACAAAGTATCTCCTACACTACTAATACTATGGAGAAATAAAGTAGTAACCTGCATTGTTTTTTCATGAGCATGACAACAAAAAGACATAGACAAGGTTGGTGTATACTATTTACGGACTTTAACACATTTTTTTACAGTTCTAAACGGTTTTTCAAATCTAGTAAAATAATCGGTTTTAAAGATAATCTTTGAAGAACCTACTTAAGTTTCAGAAATTTTCAATAGCAGTACATTTTTTCCTGTACACTAAGTTAGCTCAGTGTCCTTAATAAAATGAGAATTAAATCAAACATGATTTTCTTACTTCGACGTTTAGAATCCTAAAAAATGAGTTTTCTGATATTAAGTGAATTTAACTTTTAGTAGGGCGACGCCAATTTAAAAATCCAGAAAAGTGCTTTTGGTCATTGGTGCATAGAACTCATTTAGTTAAGTAGGAAAAATATCAGTTTTACTATGTTGGTGTGAAAAAACTTTTACCATCAGGTTGGTTGAAGGAGATAGAAAACCCTGTAATCAAACTGAAGTGTTCCTAAAGCTACTGTGTTAGGTTTCAAACAAGGTCTTCTCGACAACTACAAGCGTCCAACTTCTAATTCTTCCTCCAAAATTGTCGGACATGTATATTACTGGAAACTATAAGGGACGAGGCGATTTTCTATTAGTGTACGAAGTTGTTAAAAGTCGTCATTTTCGATAAAACTATCCTTAAACTTTGTTCACTAGCATTGTGATATTGATCCTTATTATTATGTCGAAAATGTCTCAGAAAAGAGACTTCAGTGTAAACCAGTTGAATTTCCCCCCTTTATATTTTTTGTCCGTGTAATAAACTTTACTTGCGTAATGGCAGTTAATATATAAGTGTATGAATGATGCCGCATCTCATCACACTCATATTAATCTCGAACAGTGAATAATGATTGAAAGGAAAAAACTCTATACTAGAAAATGTCGCACATTTATTTACTACAACTTAGAATTAGGACGCCCGACAAAAATATGTTCCCGCTAGATCTCAGGGACTGTCAGAATTTGTAGAGAAATGTCTCTGCTATCGAACCGTATACTTTGCTCTCATAGGAAAATGAATAGGTAAGCTTGGAATCATTCGTGAAAATATCATTAAAGTACTGTTATTTCTGAAGAATCACAGAACTTAAACGTGACCGTCGGTTATAACAGCTGTCTTTGAGTAACTATTAAAAGCCAATGCTTTAAATTCACATCCTAGTGAGAGGAGAATCATGGCTACATTTTGGTAGAAACAGAAAGTCATAAGGAATCGAAATAGATTTGGTTGGAGTTTTTTTGCAGACGAGTTGAAGAAAAATCTTTTTTGCAAGTTACTTCTAAGCATAAAGACATGACTAATTCGAAAATATCTCTGCTCAGGTCTTTTCCGTTACCGAAATAAGAGCCATTATTTCCTAAAAATTAACTTATTTATTGCTCCGAAGAAGAGATTTTTTGGTGAAATTGATTATTTAGGCAGCTGTAGCTTTGTACTTAAATTCTCTGGCAGTTGTAATTTTATGAAAACGTCATCCATGGGTGGGGAGAGCGCGCAAATTTTCCAAATTTTGGACTTTTTCCATTTTTAACCCTGTAGGACTTCTGATTTTTTTCACGATTTCTACCAATGAAAAGTAAGCTCACACCTGGCAACATGTCTTTATACTGTACTCGAGCTACTTATGGTTATTTTACTCATAAAGATATGATTAAAAGTAGCCAGCAAAAAAGGTAGTTATTTTACGGATAATGCCTTCTATCTCGGTAACGGAAAAGACCTGAACAGAGATATTTTCGAATTAGTCATGTCCTTATGCTTAGAAATAACTTGCAAAAAAGAGTACTCCAAGCCAAATCTATTTCGACTCGATGTGTGTTCATCACCTAGACTCAGAAGTTATTAGCATTTTACGAAAAAGACATACAACGCTTATATCTTACGGAACATCCAGTCTCGTGATTCGACGAGAACATATTTTTGTCAGGCGTTCTAAATCTAGATTGTAGTAAATAAATATGCGACATTTTCTAGCGCACAGTTTTTTCCTTATAATCATTGTTCGCTATCTGATTAATATGTGACGGTATGCGGCATCACTGATACATTCTTTCTCTGTATTAATTGTCATTACGCAAGTAAAGTTTATTAATGTAAATAAAACATACAAAGGGAGGCATTCAGTTGGTGCGTATTATAGTTTTCGCTGTTTTGATGTTTTGCAAAAGCCAGTTCTTTCGATCCATTTGAATTTTTCTTCTTGATGATACCTTGATAGCACTAGTAAGCAGAATTTGTGGCCAAAATTTAGGCTCCCAATTTCACTTTTTCTCGAGAAAATGACCGGAAAAGGAGAAAATTTCAATTAAAACCGAAAATATCGGTCTCTTCGTTGACATAATCATTGTTTTAAAGATTTTTAACGAACACTTTGTTGATAACAGTTTTACACTATTTTGGATGAGATATGTCTCCAAGTTTAATGATTTTCACTTATAGCCAATGCTACGGGACAATCTTCCTTGCATTGCTTGTTTTGATGCCAAGTCAGTACTTTCTGTTACAATGAATTCTAGTTTTGGAAATTATTCTCCGATACGAAGGATTTGACGTTGATCTTTGAGATTATAAAAATATCCGAATTTATTTCTTTTATTTTCCGAAACAAGGACAATTCGGTTACTAGAATAGTCAGTAAGGAGAGGAAAACTTCCAATAATCTAAAGAAAACTGTCAAGGACAGAGAAATGACTCTTACTGCGAGATTCAATATTAATAGTTGGAACCATATTATACTATAGTACTGAAAGACATAAATTTATTATCATATCAACGACTATCTCCTGATTATAGAGATGAAGAAGATAACAGATGGGTTGAAACGCAAAAGATCCTTATGGTTTAGAGAAGAACATAAAACAAATGGATGAAACGCTAAAAATCGGATTTCTGTGTGTTGATTAGTCTGAATAACACAAGTAACGAGCGAAGTACCTTAACTGTTTAAACGCTTTTGGCCTGAAGCTTAGTGGACAATAGGTAATTGAGTGTGCTGAATCCGAATATCACATTGGTTTGGGTTCAATTTTAGTTCAGAGATCCGGTTTTCAAGCTGGAAAACTTTTCGAAACAAAAAATGTTTTTGATCCAGCCATATGAAAGAGCTCATGGCGAAACCTAAGCAAGCCATTTTTTAGGTTTTAGAAGAGACTTTAAGTGGGTTTTAAACGTGCAAAACTTAAAACTGCTAAAACAAAATTTAAAACTGAAAAACGAGTTTTCGTTCTTATGCGTTTTGTGCGACAAAATGACTGTTTTCTAAGTACTCGACGGTGCTGTATCCGAATATCAAAATAGTGTGGACCCTTACCGTCCCTATAGCACCGATTTTGGCCTAGAAAATATTTTGGCTAAAAAACGTTTTCGCTATGAACACCGTTTTCAGCAGTTGTAAATCAGAAAAATGAATAGAAAGACGATTAAACGAGTAATTTTCAACTGATTATCTGATTCTAGAACTATTGTTATAAGCATGAGGTTGAAAGAACAAGAAAAGAAAAGCAAAAATGTGCTGAGACGTGCCTATATCAACCGAATCGAGGAACAGAAGATGAATAATTGAATGATAAAAAGAAAGAACGAAAGAAGAATGTGCAATAGGGACGCTAAGGGTCCACACTATTTTGATATTCGGATTCAGCACCATCGAGTACCTAGGAAATAGTCATTTTGTCGCACAAAACGCATAAGAAAGAAAACTCGTTTTTCAGTTTTGCACGTTTAAAACCCGCTTAAAACCTCTTCTAAAACCTAAAAAAATGGCTTTCTTAGGTTTCGCGATGAGCTCTTTCATATGGCTGGATCAAAAACATTTTTTGTTTCGAAAAGTTTTCCATCTTGAACACCTAGTCGTTGAAAAACCGGGTTTCTAAACTAAAATTGGGCCCAAACCAATGTGATATTCGGATTCAGCACACTCGATTACCTATTGTCCACTAAGTCTCAGGCCAAAAGCGTTTAAACAGTTGGGGTACCATCCTCGTAAGTCGTTTTATTCTTCTTTTTTCCAGAATTCTAAAGTTAATCATTGTCAAGTCCAATGTTTCAAACGATGCTATCATTAAAACATTTTTTATGCACGATAGTCATGATGTGTCATTAAAGATCTATAAACAGCTCAACATTTACGAATTAGATTTGTTTTTTTCCTAATGATTTTTACATTCTGTGGAAATTTCTATGCATTTCGGGTTATTTCTCACTTATCATGTTATCTTTCTAGAACATAATATATATTCTTATTCAGCGGCGTTATTAGTTCGTTCCTTCATTCCTTTTTATGACCTCACATCACCCAGTTAAGTACAATAATTTTTTTTGCGTCGATGGGTTTTTTCCAAGTTATATGAGTACATACACGAGAAAAATCTTTTCTTTTTTTTTTCTTTTTCTTCGTAACAGAACGATAAAATAAAAGAGGTTTTATTTCTTCTATTGTGTCAACATACAAATGTGAATATAGTAGTTTGTATTATGTAAAAGCCTAGTCACCATGTATTATTCACTAACTGTATAGTCCCACTATGATGAACCTTTTCACTGTTGTTCATTATTATACCTTTCTATGTTTCAAAAGCCTTTTATTCATCTTTAAATTGACCAGATAGAGTCGTCGGACAGTTGTATGTTATTTCGCCTAAAAACCATTTTTATTTTATCGTTCTGTTACGAAGAAAAAAAGAAAAAATAATAATATTTTTCTCTTGTATGTTCTCGTATAACTTGGAAAAAACCAACGTAAAAATATTTACTGCCCTCATTAATTCTAAATATAATATCATGAATGATATATAAAAGCATAGCTGATACGTAAGCATTATTAACTAACTGCATAGTGCTGCTATGAGAAATGTTTTCACTGTTGTTCGTTATCGTACCTTTCTATGTTTTAACAACCATTTATTCACGGTTAAATTGACTAGAAGGGTTGTCGAACAGTTTTATACTATTTTACTTCGTCTTCATTACTTTAAATATGCAGAAAATAATCGACGGTATGGTAGTGATTACGCAAGAGTGATGACTGTTTATTCGGATTCTATTACTTACGCTCACGCATACTGTGACAATAAAAATGTAAGAGGTATTACTCAATTATTAGCGTCATAAAAATGAATCACCATGCTTTTTCCACGTTATTACCTTGAGAAATATTACCTAGAAATTGAGATGCACCAGAGTATATAGCGGATTAAACTATCTACAGCAGACGATGACACAGTATCACTTAATTTCTGGATAGTTTTCTCTAAGAAGACAGATTGAAGGGCTAAAAATTGCATAATCTCACTAACTTTCGTGCTTCTTTTTTGTATTGTACCTTTGTTTTTGTATTTGTTGGATTATAGTTGAACTTGAATAGTTCAATTTGATATTGCGCACGAGCTTGTCTAAAACATGCATAGTTTTATCTGATTATTGAAGAAGTTCTTCGTCTTGTTTTAGATTATAATCTAGAAACTTTGCCTTTCTGTTTATAAACACTATATTTGAAAAAATAGATATGACTGAACTATTGCAACGAAACTCAAAGTTAAATCCAACTTTGGAACCGCGCAGAAACTATGAGGTCGAATGCCGGAAAGCAACTGAATCATCTAAGCTACCACAATCACCACGAACAAGAACAACAGAAGAGCAATTCAAGGAAACAAAAGAAAATTTTTATACAAAATGCGGATCAACTATGACAGTTATTCAACAAACGTTAACTAATTCAAGACCACATGCAGAAGGCATCATTCAAGCAGCTGGTTTTTCGTATATTAAAAATACTAATGATTCCGTACAATGCGCACAATGTAACCTAAAATTATCCGGCATAACGAAAGAAATGATTCCGTTTCAAGAACATAAAATCCAAAGTCCATCGTGTCCATTTGTAAAAAAGATGACGAGAAGCGACGAATCAGATGAAATGACAACAAGTATGTTCTAGACTAATTTCTTCTTCTGAGTAAAATGATAAATCTATTTATTTTTTAGGTCCTGCAATATCATCTATTGACGGTAAACCACAAAAACTACAAAAAACAGAATCAATGACTTGTGTGGGCGATACTACAACAAAACAGAACATTAATAAACGAAAACAACAAAATGTTACTTGCAATTTTGTTGAAATGGCATGTATGCATGATATTCGTAAACGAACATTTTCTCATTGGCCACATAAAAATCCGTCAAAGTCACAAATAATTGAGGCGGGATTTTTTATGTGTAATGTTGGTGACAGAGTTATTTGTATCTATTGCAATATTATCTGTCAACAATGGACACCATACAGCGATGATCCGACTGAAATACATAAACTTTTATCTCCGAATTGTCCGTATGTAAAATCAATTTTACAAAAAAATACGTCAAAGAACATTATTCCTATTGTAAATGAAACAGAGCATCAATCGTCACAAAATGTATCCATGAGTGATACTAGTAAAAGAGTAACCAACGTGACCGGTAATAACATTCGATCAAACGAATTTGTTTTAACAGCAGCATGCAATCAACAATATATAGAATTACACAAACGTGCAACATCATTTGCTACTTGGCCTACTGATTCCTTACCATCGGTTGAAGATTTGGTCAAATCGGGCTTCTACTACACTGGAATGAAGACAATAGTGACTTGTTTTTATTGCAATGGTTCTCTTCAGAACTGGGGAGCAAAGGATAATCCAATGATCGAACATGCCCGATGGTTTCCTTATTGTGCTTATGCTAGACAACTTTGTGGCGATGATCTATACAGAAAAATTCAAGAATCAAAACGAGCTGCTCAAGGTAACATAATTGTAACTTTTATCTTTCATATTTTTTAACGTAACTTCATTTTTATATTAGAACGAATACGATCAAATGAACAACAACAAACAAAAAGTTTTTCAATATCAAACATCAATGAAACATCAAACAATAATCTCCCACTAACAAATAGTGGAATTATTTCAAATAGTAGACAACTACAAATTCCAGATGAAGGTACATTATCGAGATTAGTCGCTGCTCGATTAGATTTACCTATCTCACAAAGTTTATTGAATAAAAATTTTAAATTATCAATTATAAAACGTTGTTTTGAAGATCAATTACGGTTGAAACGTAAGTATTTTGAAAAATAAATTTATTTTAATTCATTTAATTATTGTTGCTTATTTAGATGATGATTTTGCCAGTGATTCTGATTTATTATTAGCATGTACTATACTTCAAAAACAAATCCATCATATTGATGGAAAAAAGGAAAATATCATTATACCAAGTGTACATATGAAAAAATTAGCAGAACAAGTAGAAAAAGAACGTGCAGGTACGGTGAAAGAGCAATATCTAACTATCTATGTATTTCTAAGAAATTCTTCATTTTTTTTCTCATATTATCATTTTTATTTTAGAAAGAGAAAATGTCGAGCAACATACACTTTTTTCTAATCCAACCCAAACCACATCTCTACCAATGATATCGTCTTTATCTTCGTCATCTACAAGTGAAGATGCTGAAATGACATCAGTAATTAACGAATCAGCTACGTCTGATTATTGGACAAGTTCAACTGAATCAGACCTGGATGTTAAATCAACTGATGAAAAATCAAAACCAAAATCAAATTCTCAAACAGAAGTAACAAATCCATGTGTACTCTGCCTGACTGATGAAAAACGATTAGCTTGTATACCTTGTGGACATCTGGCAACGTGTGTACCTTGTGGCCATTCTCTTCGAACATGTCCCATTTGTAGAAGAGAAATCGAAGCCTTCGTTCGTGTCTATATTTAAATTTATTGAAGTGGATAAATATAAATATATTGTGATTTAAATGTATCTTCTAACAATCTAGTCACAAATGGCTCAATTTGTCAATTACTCAAAGCAGATAGTTGTTTGAAGTTATGAAAATAAAGAAATGGAATCCAATCATTCAACTGTATAACTACATTAGTATGGTTGATTTGAAGTCTGTCACTGATAAGACTTAGCGGTACGCTATAACTCTTTTTTATCATTTACTATGTAAATATATGATGAAATAATGGTTCAGTATTACGAGAACGTCAAAATAGAAGCAGATCTATTGCCCATATTGAGCACACTTTGTTTATATATATTGTACATATATTTTTCGTTAATTCAATTCGACATAATTCTTAATAAAGCAAATAGCAAACTTTTAAATGGAATATTTTAATTTTTTTCTTCGAAAAAAGGTACAGTTTTATATTAATGAAGAATTAATGACATGATATATATACAGCTGATTTAATACTGAGTAAAACTGGTTAAGAAGTTTATGACTTTTTGCCTTAGAGTTATTCTGTCATGCTGACTATATTAAAATTTTGTGGTGTAAAGAATCCTGTCTAACTTTTATTTTCAACAAGGATATAAAGTTTTTTCACCTATTTTACTTATGTCCTTACACTGCGAAACCGTAATTAAAACGGCACCGCATTACATTATTCTCTCAATTTTAAAAAGGTAGAAGAATAATCGATCATAAAGATCAGATGAAGGACACTCTATTTTTCTTTTATTTAATGCATTTTGTCTCATTTTAATTCTGCTTTTGTTTTATTCAGGCATTTTACTGTTTTTTTTTGCTTATTCAAATATTGATGAAATCTACTGTCAACTCAGAAGTTTCTTTGTTAGTGATTAGATAAAGTGTCGGTAAACATTCAAGATTACCTGAATGCTTCTTTTGTGGATTTCTTCTAAGTTATTTAAATATAAAGCGTATGATAAAAATGTAATATTTATATGAATTAAAGAAAACGAGAATAAACATCGACTTATATGGCATACGTAAAAGCACAATGAATTTTTACGATAAAAACTACTAGTCCATTGTGCTAATATCTTCAATGATCTCTATAGTGTAGTAATCAAACTTTAGCAGAAGCGTTACAATACAGTTACACGTCCAAGATTAGTAGCTTTTGAAATTGTCGAATGTGCTTTTAGCAACTAACAATGCAGAGTATTTATCTCGTGTAATACACTATTTCATTTTCTGAAACAATGTTTTTCATTTTTCTATTCAACTATTATCCATTTCAAACTATAGTGGACAAAACTCGTTTCAAAATAAGTTAAACGATAAAGAGATGTGATTTTAGCCAGTTTATAGAAGACACCGGGAGACTATTGGTAAACGAATCAGGTTCAAAATCCTGCCTACAAGTATTGTAAACGAAGAACATGAAGGATTTTATTTTACGTAGAATACGTGAAATTATTAGCATGCATGTTATGTCAGTCGTTACTGACATAAGTCATGGCTCTCCCAAATAGCATTCTCTTTGTTATCATTTCTTCTCTCTGTCATCATTCCTTCTCTTATCATAGCTACATTCATTGTGTTCAGATTCTTTTCTCTCTCTCCCTCTCTCTCTCACGTCTATATATTGTGAGGTTTTCTCTACAAGAGGGAAGTTTTTTTTTCTTCTGTTATACCCATCTCCTTTTATTCCAACAATAGAATCAGAAAAAACATACTTCCCAAAGTGGGATATGTCTCATCATGGACGGTAATAGTTTTGCATACCGCGGCAGGCTGCAGATTAATATACTTCAGTATTGATTTCGCCAAAGTTGTATTCCTGTAAGAGGGATCACTCAGGAATTCGATATTTTCTTCAAAATTAGTAGTAAGCATGTCGTTAAATATCCCCAACTGTTCCAGAATCTATCGCACTTTGCCCAAAACTAAGACATGAATCTAAATTTTGTCCTTAGTAATTCTTTAATTTCGTGTGTTTAGAGAAAGGGGAAAATACTCCTCCGAGTTTAGGATTATTTTCTGAGTTCTTTTTTAAAATATTTGTAGAAAACGAACGGAAGCAAAATCCAAAAATCTTAGCGTTTTTGCTAACAACTCCATCTTATCCTTATGCAATAACTCAGCAACGCTTGCGAGTTCAAACTTTTGGCATAAGCTAGTTGGACCGTAATCACTGAAGCACCATCGAATTTGGTTCTTAAAGAAATAGGGTTTTCCGTGGGGTGGGATCCTCAATATATTTTTATTTTGTTAGACTTCTTTTATTAATTTTCATGAATAGAAACCTAAAAAGATATAGGCATACTTTTACGTTTGTTTAACATTCAAGTGTTCTGATAAGAAGCAAAAAGAAAAATACATTGAAATTTAGCTTGGTTTTTTCCCATTGACTATTTGCGTGCCTACATACTGAATGGCTGAATAAACGCACTCAAGTTGATACTAGTAATAAAAAGTTACAACGCGTTTCTCTGATGTTTGTTGTGCAAAATCCAACTGCACTCTTATCTTTTGGAAACAAGAATAAGTAAATAAATAAGAAAGGTCCAGTGATGAAATGTCAACTCTCGGAAGTATTGTCATCTGGTATGCTAAATGGAAGTCGATTCGTCGTTAGCAATTTCCGCACTCATAAGATTCTCTATCAAACTAAGAAACTATAGGATTAAGAAACTTCACCCAAGAGGTTTAAAAAAATCAATGAACCGGCGTTCGAACCCCGTACTAAAAATAACTAAGGGGTTCTGACCCCGTACTTTAATGCGTTCTATACTTCACATTCGATGAAATGCAAGTTTTATAGAAGTTCAACAATAGTCCAGACGTTGAATCACGAGAATTTTGAAGGGAATGTGTACTAAGGAATATTCATATTCGTGGGGAATGTATACATTCCCTGTAACATATATAAAATGATTTTCTTCTAGATTTTGATTTATTATTGAGTGACCTATGGTAGCTGTTACTAATGTGCTGGTTATTGGAGAAACAGGCTCAGGTATGTTATAAAATAAGAGTAAAGAACGATGTAGGTGTGTCATTCTATTTAGGAAAAAGTACATTTATCAACTATCTTGCAAATCATTTCCATAATGGCACGTTGAAAAACCTCAAAATTGCCATACCAACACGTTTTCATCTCACACCTAATGAAAACTTTCCCCACCGAGAAAACGATGTGAAAGATGGCAAATCCAGTAAAACTGTTGACTGCCAACAGTATCGATTTGATCTGTCGGTTGACAACAAAGATATAAGCATTTGTTTTATTGATACGCCGGGTCTCAGCGATACAGGCGGTATGACTCAAGACATTGAAAATGTCAACAAAATCTTTGAATTTGTGGAACATCTGAGTGACTTGTCAGCCATTCTCCTCGTACTAAACGGTGCGAACTCTCGAATGACGGTAAACGTCAAAAATGTTATTGAAAAATTTCGTGATCGTATACCAAATGTAATTAGTAACAATTTCATCACGGTTTTAACAAATTGTCATCAATATTCGGCTAATTTCAATGCTAAAGCGACAGGTATGTCCGACATGTCGACAGTATTTTGCATGCAAAACTCAGCATTATCAAGTAATCCAAAGCATTGGGATGCAAACACATTAGCCACGATCCAAAGCGATTGGAAAGAGTCGCAAGAAACGATCGATAACATTTTACGAAAAGTTTTAGCCATGAAGTCTATTCCTACGAATACGTTCAAAGATATGCAAGACGATCGAAATAAAATCCGTGGTTTACTGCATGACTCACGATTGATGATAGTGCAACTGCAGCAACTTGAACAGGAATTGAGCTCACTGGAACATGCCAGCGGACAGTATCAATTAAATGCTGAAAAATATAGCCAATTTTACAGAACACGAACAGTAACAGTTCGTGTACCAGTTAGTGTCCCACACTATAATACATTGTGTGCCTGCTGTAATAGTGTGTGTCATGAACATTGTTCGCTGAAAGAGACACGCAAGGTAGGAGAACAAGTTTTCAAGTATTGTTTGGCAATGGGCCCAGATGGTAGATGCACACAATGTACTAACCGATGTAAATATCGGTGTCATTATCACGATCGGAAAACAATTGTAATGGATCAAAGAACGATTTCTGACGTCGTGATGGATGTGCAAGAGAAATTTAAGTCTGCTAAAGCAGGTAAAGAAAAAATGGACATGAAATGTGAAACAATACAAGAGACAAAAGAGTTTATTGAACTCACATTACAGAAGCAGTATGAACAAATTGAACAAAGCTGTTATCGCATTAAAGAATCATGCATCGGTTTTAATGTTACAGAAGAGCTATTTTTACTTATCCGTTTTCTGCAGCAAGATTGCGAGTTATTAACGTCACAGGGTCCCAAACTTAAGGCATACAATTTTATTCAAAAGCTTCAAAACTTATGCAAAAAATTGGAAGAACAGTCGCCACTGACAGATAACGATGAAACATTTTACGATGTCATCGACAAGAGAAATGAGCAGACGGGACCATCAGTGGTAAAGCGAAGTATGAGTAATAATGCGGAGTCAAAAACTAACACAAGTAAAATCAAATCATGTGTTGTTAGTTCCGATCAGCCGGAACGCGTTAGTAGTCCGACTAGTACTCCTCGTTCACTCACATTGAAAGAGGAAAAATATGCTACATTATCTAATTCAAGTATGAATACACACAACGATGAGAAGAAGAAGTATAAACAGACACCTCTGGAGGAGGACACTGATGACGAAAGAAATGGAGACAGTGAGGATTCAAAAAAATTTGGTGAAGTAACGAATGAGAAATTGGTTAGTTTATACAAAAAAAATGTAAAAAGTGGAACGAATAGTAATGAGGAGTGTAATGAAATTCGAAAAGAATTGAATCGTCGCTGTCGAGGAAAATCAGTAGGTTATTTGTCGAGTTATGATGTGCCGACATTGTGTGAATATTATGCGACATATCGTACTAGAAATGCTGAGGAGTTATACAAAAATCAGTCAACGTTGCAGCATAAAATTCAAGATTTGATTGATGATGATCCGTTGAATATCTCAAAAATATCGAATGATATGCTGCTTCAACTAGCAGCTGTTAGTCTCGTCATACAAAAACTTAGCATATCAGAAGATAAGTAAAAACTAATCGAGAACTCGATATCTTACGTTTACATTCCAGATGGTTTTTAATTGTTATTGTCCTCCTCACACATCACTTTTGGTCTCTATCTTTATAATGAATCACCAAAACATATCTCCTACATTCAAATGATGCGTAACACTCAACTAGAGCAAACTAGAGAAGTGAATGCTTTGTTAGCAATAATATTCTGGATTTGTTCCACGAATTATTTTCTTTAATGCTATTTTTTTACTCTTTTCTGCCTTTTTATTGTAATCCTACTTTTCAGTTTCGTTTTATTTATTTAAAATGGTACTTGCTTGTATCTGATTTAGTAAATTTTGAAATCATCAAGGCTGAAATCTTCAACTGAAATGAAGATAAATTTGTAATCTTAGTGATTTGACTTGCTTCTTTTTCAGATCATACTGTTTACTTTGACGAAATCAAATTGGCCAAAAATAAATAGATTAAGACCACTCAACAACTTCACACGTAAGTTGATTTAATAGTATTTCTCATACCCTCTGCTAACAATGAGAATTTGACTTGTTCCCAGGCATTGATGGCGAAAGAATTTGTAAAACAAACTGTTCAGTCTGCAAAGAACCTTTTTAAGCCTTCCTCACACAATGATGATGACCAGCAACAAAATATGGTAAAACTCAATGATGCTTCGATAGCGAAAGCACTTGTTATTGGTGAGACTGGATCTGGCAAAAGTACATTCATTAATTATTTGACAAATTATTTTCGTCACGGAAGTTTGAACAACGTGAAAGTTGCTATTCCGTCTAAATATCGTCCGCATATTACTGAACATTTTGCTCATAATGAGAATAATGTATCAGACACGACTCAATCAAAAACGGATAGTTGCAATCAGTATATGTTCAATGATGACAGAACAAACAGACAATATATCTTCCTGGACACACCTGGTCTAAGTGATACTCGTGGTGCTAAACAGGACGATGAGAATATGACCAAAATTATTGATAGCGTGGAGACTCTGGGCGGCATCGCAGCCGTTATCATCGTTGTGAACGGTACAAATCCTCGTTTAACAGCCAACATGCAGAATGTCATTGCGAGACTTCGAGGCAACTTGCCTGACGTCGTTATGGATAGTGTCGTTGTTGTTCTTACTAATGCAAAACGTCACGAAGCAAACTTCGACTTGAAATCTTTAGAGCTTCACGGAAACGTTTATCCGTACTACATGCAAAACTCAGCATTTTCTCAAGATGCGGCCACATGGGATCAACGTGCTATGGAGGTAGGTTTGCACAAATGAATCACAAAACCGACGGATATTTATATAACTTCTAAAATAATTTATTTGAAAAATCTTAATTAAAATAGAGTTTTCTATAGTATAAATGGCAGACTTGACTTTAATTTTAATTCGAAAAATCTTAACAGCTACCAAATTATTAATTTTATAGGCTTTGCAACTCGACTGGAATCGATCGATGGACGAATTAAAAAGTATGATCAGTGTTCTCGACACATTCAAAACGAAGTCTGTGGAGGCGTTTAAAGACATGAAACAAATCCGAAATACAATAAAAACGATCATGCACGAGGCAAGAATGGAAGTGACGAATATTCAAAAGATGCAAGATGAAATAGCTGCAGTTGAAGCAGCAATGAAACAGTACGGAGCCGACGCAAGTACCTACAAGAATTTCACAAAAGAAAAAACTGAAATAATACCCGAACTGGTTGATTGTCCGCATCACAATACACTATGTGCAAAATGTACACACGTTTGCCACGATGGCTGCAGTCTTCGAGAAACCACCACAAAAGGCGATCAAATATTCAAGGGTTGCTGGGCGATAAAAAATGACGTGTGTGTTCAATGTCCGAATAAATGTAGTTATACTGAGCATTACCACGCCCGAAAAACCGTTAAAGTCACCCAGAAAAAAATGCAAGAGGTACTGTATGAAATCAAGGCTAAGTACGATGCAGCATCAAAAAATAAGGATGATGCCCAGACAAAAATTAAGACTACAGCTGATGCTAAGAGGCTTTTGGAAAAAGCACTAAAACAAAAAAACGACGAAATCAAACAAAAGTGTACTGAGCTACAGCAAATATGCACCGGATTTAATATTGTCGATGAACTTTATGCGCTAATCAATATTCTACAAATGGAATCGTCAACCTTGAGAAATATCGATGCAAAACAGCAGGCAGAAGACTTCATTCGTTCATTACGAGACTTTTGTGATCAATTGGAAAAAGACGGCGTGTCAGCCAAACGTGTACCACGACCGATGAATTTATTAGACACATATGTACCTGTGCCAATAACAACTGTGCAACAGACAGTAGTCAGACACAATCCCACTCAAACTCAGTATATACCTAATACATTCAACATGAATTCAAATAATTCGGATAGTACCGATAGTGTTCTTCGTAAAGTGTTGAATATGCAAAAGAGGGGCAAAACCTCAAAATCGAGCGACGACAGTGATAAAAGTGAAAATGAGATTGCCAGCAGTGACTCGGACGATGAAGTAGAGGAGAAAGATATTCGACAGAAAGGGAAACGTACATTACAAAATAAGGCAACAGTAGTCACGAATAAAAATTCACGAACACAAAGTACAGTGGTCGCGAAAGCCTCTCTAACACCCGAACAAACAAGCATGATGACCACCGCTGAATTAGTTACGAAACAAGGTGAATCTCCTGATCAACGAACATCAATTTTGATAAATCAAGAATTAAATAAACGATGTCAAGGAAAATCAATTGGTCAGTTGACACCTATTGATATAGCTAAGTTTACAAGATATACCCAAAAATATACGCAAAATGATCAAACATCGTTAAATTCAGTTTACAACGAGTTTCAAAATAAAATAAACAGTATCACTGATGCAGATAGTTCACAAATATTAAAAGTACCATCTGATCTATTATTAGAAATTGCAGCTGTCTATCTCGCATTACAAGATGCTCCATCAACTGTACCCGAGAAAAAACAATCTTTGAATCAACAACCGCCATACGGCCAGCTACCTCCTCAGCAAGCTGATAACCAATATCTACCAAGTCTAGATCAATATAATAACAGAATGAATCCAAATATGCATCATGGTCATTATCTACATCATCCACCAAACTATAGCGGCGACATGTACCAGCATCATGGTGATTATCCTCCACCTCCTCCTAATCAGCAAAATTTCACAGTATATCGAGATCCGAATCAGCAGCAACGCTTACACAACACTATGGATCCGAACCGTCGGGGTGCAGAAGAGGTTTATCCAGCACCACGCGTTTTCATGCCAATGCCCATGCCCATGCCGACATCTAGTTTTGCCCAAATGAACATCGGTACTCCACAACTTTCTCAACCTTCAATCCATCATCCACCGCAGAGAAATGATATAGTGTTATCTAAACGATCGAACACCTCATTGATTGAGCTCTATTATAATCGTCAGGATTATCGCGATCAGTATGAAATGAATAGAATCCAAGACGAACTAAAGTCTCGTTTGAATGGCGAAGCGTTCGGCCCCCTATCTTATGATCAAGTTCAAAACTATAATAAGTCTCGTGATCAGCGTAGCTCAATGCAATTGGATGAGTTAAAATATACTTACGATAGAATAAAAGAGAAGATAGCGTTGATTACAGATAATGATCCACTTCGTATTATGGAAGTTTCGGTTGATCTTTTACTACAGGCGTGTGCTCTATGCTCATTAATCCAACAAAAGTCGAAAAGTGGAGATCAACGCACAACAGCATCAGTAGCTTTGTCTGATCGAGAGGGATCACCATTCAGACCAATAAATCAACATACAGATGATGAACTGTCGAATACGTCATTATCAAAGTTGCTGACGCTCTACAACGATCGTAATCATCCGAATAAAACTTTGATACAACAAGAAATTGATCATCGATGTATTGAACATGCAGATATTGTGAGACAATACCCGTCTGTATTTGATCAGATAGTCGATGAATGTAGATATAAACCGATCGGTGAACTTCAAACGTATTACTTCTCGTTCAAACCACGAATAACGCAACAAATCGATATTGACTCGAAAAACAGACTCATCGTTCAACAAGCAGCTATTGCTTACCTCATTCAGCAAAAACAATAAATTGGTAAGAATCACATTTTAAAATAAATATAAAATATCCCTATTTATTTTATCCTTTAGCTTACATTCTTCCTCGATTGATCTCTTCTTACTCGCGATGAATCATCACATGTTGGCAGCCGACGATCACTTTTATCAACGAACACTCACTGGTAGTCTTAATAAACGAGAATATGTACTTACTATGCCTTCGTTTAAACATGGAGCAGGATTATAACATGACGTTTTCAAATTTAAAACAAGAATATTACTATTTCTCACTCAGAGAAACTACTGCTTTTAAAAAAGGCTGACAGCTAATTGTATTAATCCTTGATAAACTAGTTATATAGCTCCTGTAATAACGCACATATTACAGAAATTGTGAGCGTAAAGCCATGAGCTTTTCATTTTCAATATAAGAAACAAAACGTTAAATCTCTACAATATTTATCATGTTCTAGCTTCCAGAAGGATGTTATTCTATCTTCAGGTCACTCAGAGACTCTGATGGCTATCTTAATGGTCCGCGTCCTAAGGATCCTTTCTTGATAGAAATGCTGACAGAAACTAGAGGGACTAAGTTGATCATCTGCTCTCTAATCGAATGAATAATTTTTGACGATGTATGTACTCTAGACAAAAATGAATAAAAACAATGAATATAAATACAAAAAGTGAGAACGCGATGTGTGCAACTGGCTAAAATCTAACAGAGTGAATCTACTACTGAGTTAAATTAGTATCTCTTGTGAACCCCCTCCGAAGACCACCTGGTCTTCTATTTTGTCCTGCAAGTCGAGTGCTAAAAGGTGATCTTCTACTGTGGTCAAATTTTGTTATTGATTTTATCTATTAACTGTTTCATTTTCTGTCGATGTTTGTAATCTATTCTCTTAATTTTTTCTTCATGTTCCAATTCCATTCTTTTCATCTTTTCTTCTTGTTCATATTTTAACTTTTGAAAATTTTCTGACGCTATGTTCGTTTCGTTTGCCGTTCTATATGTATTGATTGATTTAAGCTTTATTTATTAAAAGTAATAAGTAAACAAAAATCATTATCACTCTGACGTAGAAGCGGCTATCGCCATTATATAACTGTTCGAAACGATGAAAGTATTTTGTATACGTACGGCATCGAACATTCTATGTATTCCTTTCAGTGTTTGAAACAAAAGCGGAAAAAAAAGATGCATGCAATAGATAGAATATATTTAGATAGTTATATAGAAAACTGTTTCGTTTCATTTGAAAAAGGTGCGCATTGTTCTCTTTGTGGGTTTTAATCACGACAGAAAAGCATCAACACTAAACTTTTTAACTATCACTATTCCATATTTAATACACAGTTAGGGTAGCCGTCAAAATTCGCACCGGTGAATATTTTCATCAATAAATTCACCGGTAACTGGATTGCAGAGAAAATTGAGAACAGAATTAGTCAATATGCCTGAAAAAAAGAATATAGAACTATCGTATAATAGAATGAACATGTATGTATATATTCTTTTCTCTACTACTTGAGTTGATGTTTTTTTTCTTTCTATGCACATTATAGAGAGAGATATAAAGCAAGAAATGGAGAAAAGAAGAAATGTTATCGTTTTATCCAAAAGAAAGATTCCCTTCACTATAAAATCAGTGTTTCTTCTAGCAACTTCTCAAATTAAAAAGTTAACAAATATGAAAGTATCCTTCTCTAGTTTTTCTGCCAGTTTGTAGTGCACAACTTGTAGTCTATAACATGCTAGTGTTTAGAAAAAGGTACCGTTTAGTTTTTGAGTTATAAGGCTGCCAATATCAAAGCTGAACGTATGAAAAAGTCCGTATCTATTCCAATATAACAGTCAAATAACTTTTCAGAGAGCTCTCTGAAATACCATGGCTTTCCGGCTTTCTCTTCGGGCCATGGTAGTCAGAGATAATGTAAAACAAATAAAAATGGTTAAAAGGCTGCTATTATCCACAGCCAGTATCTTCTTGAAACAGAGCTATTGATAATCAGTGAATAAAAGTGTCAAATGCGGAACAGTAACTACTCATCTATTAACGTTATATTCATCAGTGTATAACGAAACATTCGTAATCCACGCAATAGTTCGGCTCGATGAAACTTTAATGTTTTCTTCTTTCTATGCATATTATAGAGATACAGATATACAAAGAAATGGAGAAAAGAGCAAGTTTTATCGTTCTGTCCGAAAGAAAGATTCCCTTCACTATAAAACTAGTGTTTATTCTAACAACTTCCAGGTTAAAAAACTAACAAATTTGAAGGTACCCTTCTCCAGTTTTTGTGACAGTTTGTAGTACACAACTTTTACTCTGTACCATGCTATTTTTTAGAAAAAGGTCTCTTTTAGTTTTCAAGATATAGAAATCTCAACATCACAGACTAAAGCTTGTAAAATGTATGAATTTCGCTTTAATTTTAGAAATTGCACGAATTTGGAATGACAAACATAACTTTCTTCACCACTTTTCGGAACATCATAGTCAGAGAAGCCCAAGTTCTACATTTTTGTCCCTTAAAGTTTCATTTATTCAAACTGGGCATAAAAGTGGTCACTTATACATATTTCGGAAAATTTTGTCTGAATTTACTTGATAACATGATCCAGTTAAACGTATCTTATATCTGGCTCATTTTCGTCAAAATTAACAAATTACATACAGTGTACATATTCTGTGTACAGTACGTTACTTCCCGAACTCCGCACACTTTTAATAAAAAGTGACTATATCTATATTCCAAACTCCGCACATAATTACATGAATTTGAAATGTACGTGATCTCAATCTCCGCACACTTTTTAATTAGCAAGTAAAACATGGACTGTAAGAAATAGAAAGCGCCATGATACTGAACCTTTTTTATTATTTCTGATATGACGATATCGATTTCAATTATAAATACAAAGTTGTGAACCACGCTGACCGGTTTCAATTTCAAATTCTATTTCGTAAAATATTTGTGGGTACATATGTATTTTTGTCCAGAGAATATATACCTTTTTAGGAATTATTTGATTACTCATTTCTCATATTAGCTGTCGTACTATTAACTGTAACTGTTAGAGCAATTGGGACAGCTAATATCAGAAATGAGTAAAATCAAATAATTCCTAAAAAGGTATATATTCTCTGGACAAAAATACATATGTACCCACAAATATTTTACGAAATAGAATTTGAAATTGAAACCGGTCAGCGTGGTTCACAACTTTGCATTTATAATTGACATCGATATCGTCATATCAGAAATAATAAAAAAAAGTTCAGTATCATGGCGCTGTATCAGCAAGGAGTGTAGTGCTGCGATATTAATTTATCCAAACAAGTCCTAGTAAATACGAGATATCAACAAGAATTAACTGGACAAAAGCCAAGAGAGAAACAACATGTATCAACTAAGAATCAAGCATTTCAATTGTGTATAAGTAAAGAAGCGGATGATCTAGGTGAAATGAGTCTTGAAGAATATATGTCGAGTGTACGGGCAGTAACTTATCGCTATATAGACGAAATATCAAAATCAAATTAAGAATATATGATACAATGAGATATTTTTCTATTTCTTACAGTCCATGTTTTACTTGCTAATTAAGAAGAAGTGTGCGAGGGTGCATTTCGACATGAGTGGTTAGAGAGAACTGATTCAAGCGGTTTTAAATGTAAGTTGTGGCTGAAACCAGGGACATCACCAACCAGATACGTTGTGTTTCCATAATGAATCCAAAACATGTACAAATGGTGCATGGTCAGTTATCAAAAAAACATTTGATGGTGCTAAACAGAGAACAAAAGCAACAGCAGCTTTTAGTGAAAATCAACCAAAATAGATAATTTCACATGACAACAAAACACTGAGAGTCAATACCGAACCAAAGTTACATTCGATGATCTCGTAACAATTTCAGCGATCAAATGAGCAATGAACATTGCTTAAAAGGGGTTTAGCTATCGATCTATCGATGATTCCTCAGACATTTTCAAATCAATGTTTCCTCATAGTTCAATAGGACGACACAAATTATCCTATATAATTCAATACGGTTTAAGATCATACTTTCATGGTATGATGGTTGATGATTTACAAAAAGAATCAAATGAAACAACGATGGATGGTACACGAAACAATTTGATATCATGATACGTTGTTGGAGTGAGGTCAAAAAACGTGTTATTGTTATTTATTTCCATAGGTAAGACTTCCATATAATGTTTTATGTAAAAAATGATATATCGAAAGTTTTGATACTTCCTCCCTTCGCATCTGGCCCATGAAGTTTAAGTCATAGTGCACCTATAAGGTATTATCTTGCATCTGTTCCAACAGGATATTATTTTTATGATGTATAAATGTATTTCTAGTAACGTTTTTGGCCATGCAACAGTGGAGTATTTGACAACTGCTTAATTAATAGTTTGAAAGCTAATGGAGTTGATTTGAACAAACTGTTAATATTTAGCACGGAAGGCCACAACATTCACATTACTCATAATTCGTCCAGATATGATCAGCAAGCTGTTAACTGGAACATCGACGATGATATTGAATTAATCTTCATCAGTGGTTATAATTGTGACAGGCATTTCTTGAAATCAGGCAGATTTCTATCTACCTTTTCTATCTGTGTCGGATTTCCTTGCAGTCCCAGGACTGATACCCAATGGTGTATCAGTCGTCTGCAGCTCAGACGGTTGTGTGTTTGCTTCTTAGTTCTAGGTACCCACGTTCAAATCACACTCAAACCATGTGAGTAATATTTGTTTTCTTTCATTCTTCGCTCGTTATAAACAGCCTTGAGAGCAGTGGTAACTCTTCGAGTGAGCATGTAGACCCTCTAAAAAAATGTCAGATTAATCCTGCATTGAAAAAATTAATTTTATTTAAATTTAAATTGCAAACGCGTTTTGATGCAGGAATTCGACGAAAATTAATACGGGGAACGCCTTAAAGATTAACGGACATTGATGCGTTTTTGTAGCAGAAAAGGTTTGCCTGGGTTGAGCTGA